TGCCCCAAATGAGTACACCTAAATCTATCGAAACCATTCGGTGGCCCCTCATCACTACAGGATGGAGCCCAGACTCCTCCTCTGACCCAGGAGGTCCTCCTCCATGTTTGGTCTCTACCCACACTCTGCCTTCCCTCCTGTGCTGTAGCGGGACCAACTCCAGGCGGTACCCAAAGGCGTCTCACTCTTGATGGGTGCCTTTTCCTCTTCCTTGGAACCTCTGTCCCTGCACATGGGCACCACTCCCTGCTGCCTGGGGACTCCCACCCCCCTTTGAGCCCCACCTTTAAAGGGTCCCCGGCGAAAGGAAGCCTTTTCTGGCCTCTCCCCTCTTCTTTGTGTCGCCACCCCATCTTGGACATGTTTTATCTTTGCCCTCGTTCCACTTTATTACAATTATTAGTGACATCTTCTGTTTTCCCTACTTTCAGAACCCGTCAAGGGAAGGGATTGTGTCTTTTCCACTTTTGTATTCCTGCTGCTTCTTGCAGAGTGTGATAGAGATAGCTGATCATGGTTGAATTGTGGCGAGCCAGCACGGCCATGGCATACTCAGCCCCAGGGCGCCTTATGTGCTGCGCCAGCTCAGCCAGGTTCAGTGACCCTGAGAAGGGGCGGTGAAGGATGGAGAAAAGACAGACAAGAGAAGAAAGCTGGGTCTGGGTGGGACGCTGTCCTCTCTGATGGAGAGCCTCTCTGATGGAGAGCTAGCGACAGTGCCACGGGCTACAAGTGTGTCGTTATTTTATAGCCAGATTCCAGGAGGCAAAGTAAGGGCGTGGTCAAGATGTTTACAACATTCTCATGGGTTTTGATCCTACTCAATTACATGCACCTGAACTCTATCAAGCCCACATCACTCAGACCACGTGTTCGGACCATAGGTTCAAGCTTACAACCATAGCTGTTGGCTATAATTGTGCTGGGAGGGCCCTGCCCTCCAAGCTGGGACTTGCACGTGGCCACAAGAGGACTGTGCCCTCTCATTAGTCCGAGGCTTGAACCTGTCCAAACACTGTAGCCCCTCTCCACATTGAATGGAGATGAATGAATGAATCAATGAGCAAATGAACAGACAGATGAAGGAACACCCATCTTTGGGTTCCTCCTTGGCTTCTCCAGGTGTGAATCACTCCAGACTAAGAGCAGATGTACCTCCCACAGTCGCTTCTCAACTCTGGAATTTCCTGCCTTAACAAAGTATGTGTTTACTCATTTTCCCAATATCCCTTCTGCCTTAAAAAAAAAAAAAAATGGTGTGCCACTGGCATGACTCATCACAGTGTTTATCTTTGTACCTGACTGCTATGGGGAAATGGACGTGTTTTAAAATACGTTAATTGAGGATTCCCCAGTTTGTGTCATTTCTCAATTCTTTACCTAGTTCCTCAAGTGTTCTCTCCCACCTGAGATTCATTTTTTAAAGGATTTTTTATTTTATTTTTTATATGTTTGGGGTATTTATTTTTTATTGATTTCAGAGAGAGGAAGGGAGAGCGAGAGAGATAAACATCATTGATGAGAGAGAATCATCTATCGGCTGCCTCCTGCACAACCCCCCCTGGGGATTGAGCCTGAAACCCAGGCATGTGCCCTGACCAGGAATCGAACTGTGACCTCCTGGTTCATGGGGTCGACGCTTGACCACTGATCAACACCAGCCGGACTGTCCCTACCTCCCTAGAGGCCACCACACATCTCCTTTGTCCACTGGGAAGGACTGAGGAGCTCCCAATGCCTACAGCAGCCAATGCCAGTGAAGTCCACAAGCATCTTGGCCTCTGTTAAGATTTCAGAATGAGAAAGGTAGCACAGCAGGGATGGATGGCCTGTCAACAGCATATTGATTGGAAAATGTTTCAATACGTATATTTAAATGCACAACGGGGATGGGGGGTGGGGGGAGGGACTATGTTACTATAAGCATCAATTTCTGAATTTGTGGGTTCTCTGGGAGGATAGTTTCAACTCTGTCCTTTAATTAAAGCAGCAGTCTGGTTCCCTTTTGGGACAAGGAAGTTGTTACCAATACCACTAATTTTTTCCAGGAGGACCAATATAGCTGGAATGCCAGCATCCATCTCCTATAAACAGATCCCAGGAGCAACCTTCATTGTCTCTAGCTGGTGGATAGTTCAGCTTTATGACTTGGCTTTGGGTCATCATGGGGCCAGGGGTAGAGTGGCTGACATTTATTGAGTCCACACTTCTAGCTGCCGTATATCTTTGATCTCCTCTCATTCCTCACAACAACCCTATAAAGGACTTATTATTGTTGCCACTTCGGGGGGAGAGAGAGAAATGGAAGATGAAAGAGGTTAAAGGTCACAGCCAATCTGCTGGATTCTAAAGTCCAGTAGCTTTGCAAGGACTTGGCCCAGGAACATCTGTCATTAGCATTCATTTTTTCGATAACTATTTGTTGGCCCTAACCGGTTTGGCTCAGCGGATAGAGCGTCGGCCTGCAGACTCAAGGGTCCCAGGTTCGATTCCGGTCAAGGGCATGTACCTTGGTTGCGGGCATATCCCTTGATGTTTCTCTCTCATTGATGTTTCTAACTCTCTATCCCTCTCCCTTCCTCTCTGTAAAAAATCAATAAAATATATTTAAAATAAATAAATAAATATTTGTTGACCACCTACTAGGTGCCAGGACCTGGCATTTACAGTTTAAACTTTGTCTCCTGGCAGATGAGCCTTTTCACAATGGATCCCCTGACCCCAGCTTACTTTTCCAA